CCCCAAAACCCCAAAACCCCAAAACCCCAAAACCCCAAAAGAGATTTATCGTATTGAAACTTCAGATTAATTAATCATGAAGGTTTACATGCGGAATCAGGCGGTAATGTATAATCATGAGAGTACAAACTCTAGTCTTTCTTTTCTAAGAATTTATCGTTCTCCCACATTCCATCAAGAACTTTGTTCTGAGGATCTTTGTAGACTCCTTTTCCGTTTTTCATGTTCTGCTTCCACTCTCCTGTGTATACAGAGCCGTCTGAGCCGTAGAAGGTGCCTATTCCATCCATTTTGCCTTGCTTCCATGTTCCTTCGTAGTAGCTTTTATCGGAGAATGTGAATTTTCCAAATCCACTGAATTGGCCATTGTCAAAATTTCCTTCATAAACTCCTATAGAATTTGATATTGAAACTGTACCGCCTCTTCTGTAGAAGTCATCTTCAATGCTGTTGATGCTGTCGTTAGTTGAGTTCTGAACGTGGGAGACATCAGACACAAAGGATTGTTTACCTTGGCCATGCTTTTTATCATGCTCCCAGTTTCCTTCATAAACATTACCTTTGCAATCTTTGTAGGTTCCATATCCGTGCTTCATTATTTGACCACTGTAAGAAGAACCATCTTTAAACTCTAGATCGAAGGTATTGACTTCACCAGATTTTTCAAAACTTGAGTTAATTGAGGGAACTTTGAGAGTCTGCAATGCTGACCCTTGAATTGGAGCAGAAGACTCAGATGCTTTGTCATCATTATTTTCTTGTTTGTTCTGAGCGTCAAGGATATACTCCAAGTATGTCTTCTTAGGCATAAAAATTTTACCCAGAGATTGCTCTGTTGAATTGATAACTTTTACACTTTCCAGATCAATGACGTGTTGTTTTCAAATCATTTCCCCTTTAAAAGGCATGAGAATTCTGATTTTGAAATATCCATTTGGGAGTCTCATTTGCTTGAGATCCTCTTTTAGCTTGGTTTTATCTCCTTTGCTTTCTTCCAACTCAGTGTTCAGGTTCAGCATAGTATTGAATGAACTGTTCATGAAAGAATTGTCATCTTTTAAATGGGACGTATTGAATGTGTGAAAGCTCAATTGGCTGTCATCAGCTAAAACAAAGTTCTCTTCTTGAATAACCTGCTGCTCTTCTTCGGTCTCGGAGATTTTGGAAGGAGCTTCATGAACTGTTTTTAAAGCAGGGAAGCGCTTCGCCTGACCCCCTGGCTGGAACATGTAGTTGGACTCTGTCGGTTTCAAGTAAGTCTTGGGTGTAGATTCAGAGTCAAGATTTTTGGTAAATTCTTTGGATTTTGAAGAAAGTTTCATTAGCTTCTTTGTGTTGAGATTTTTGGTTGAATTTTTGTCCTGAAGCTGCTTCGGATATTCCTGGAAGCTAGATTCAGAGTTTGAATTGAAGGAGTTATCAAAGGATCTGTCGAACGATTTATCGAATGATTTATTAAAGCTTCCGCTCGTATTTGGGCTCATGGTTACAAAGCTGCTAGGTTTGAGCTCTATCGAACTATCCCTCTTCTCATCACTGACAATATCACCATAAACTTCTTTTTCTAACTCATCCATATAATTTAGAATTTCAAAAGCATGAGGTCTCTGGCTTTCGTCAAGCACTAAGCAAGCTCTAATAAGTGTTGCTAGCATCGGCTCATTTTGAACCTTCTTATAATCGATCTTGCACTTGAGAATATTCTCTTTAATAGTCTTTGGGTCTTTTCCTTCAAATGGATCCTTTTTAACAATGAGGAAGTAAAGACAACAACCAAGGGACCATATATCGACTTTATCACTAAAATTCATTTGTTCCAGAATTAGCTCAGGAGCAGAATAATTGATATGGCCTGAGAAGTTCTCCTTCTTCAGAAGCTTTTTGTAATTATAGGGCATCCCAATGAAATTAAATTTAGCTTTTCCGTTCACTAAATGGAATCTTGTTGGGTGAACATCTCGATGGATAATATCATTTGAGTGCAAATAGTGGAGGACATGCAGCATTTGTCTGAAAATTACCAACATTTCATGTGTAGTAAATTTCTTTTTACAGAATGCCTTCCATCAGCTTGAGCCATTTTCAGGGGCCTCTGTCTGGAAATATAGTCTGTTTCCATCCATTATTACCGGGCACAGTGGTGAGATCAAATATTCATGGTACAAAGTTTCAAATCTATGAGGAATTTAGGCTAGAAGATGGAAAATGTTTACCTCTTTGATAACTGGATAGCATTGTTCCTCTTCTCCTTGTAGAGAGAGGAAATATCAATAGCAGTGACTAGCTTCCTAAGACCACTGGAGGGCTCAATTTCAATAGTAATCTCTCCATCATTTGGTTCTGAATATAATCTTTCAACTCCTTCAACAGCTGGAGGAGGAGGTTTGAAGGCTGGCTTGCTTGGGAATCCAGAGAAAGTATTTCTCTTTTGTGCCTGTATATTGAAAGTATTGGCAGGCTCAGGCATTGGGTGCATACCAGAAGACTTTTCTAAATATAACCATTATTTTCTTCTTTCTTATTAAAAATTTGATGCTAAAATTGAGGAAAAGTGATTAGTTATTTATCAGGAATTGAAACTCAGGCTTGAAAAGGATGTCTGGCCGAAAAATTATTTAAGAGATCTCAATTGAGCTAGAATTTTGAGTGGCTAACCTTCTTGGTAAAATCTTTGCCCTGAATATCCAGGTTGAGAATTCATCTGGTGTCCATCTTCGAAATTCCACTCATTCCCTTCTGGTTGAGGATAATACATCCCAGGGCCGGGATGCATGGGATTCATTTGTTCCTTTTTAGTAAACCCCTTATTATAATATTGCTGACTTTGGGGATACTCTTGGTTATTAAACGCTCCTCCGTACATCTGATTACCCCATCCATAATCATATTGTTCCATATACACCTGATTATGGGGTTGATTTTCCTCTTTGCCACCTTTGGGATACATATTTGTTTTTATTTTTATATCAAATTTCCTCTAACTTATGGGGTTTTGGGGTTTTGGGGTTTTGGGGTTTTGGGG